TATATTCAAATTGTGGTATTCACAAAAGAAGAGTTGTGAATTCTTCTTCCTCCACTTGTTGAGACAGTTGGTTTTCGACTTTCAGAGACTGGAGTATTGCCCCTGCTGGTCACTACCAAATGTTAAGAATGCATTTTGAGTTTTCTACCTTTTGTCAGATGCTTCCTGTTTAAAGTGACAAGTCATGTGGTGGTGGGGGTCTGGTCCAATCAGGAGGATGTAATCATCAATAAGGTTTAAACCTCCAGGGAAACAGTGGGTAGTTGCAGCCCACCATGGTAGACCATATGCAGGATGAACTGACCCAGGGTCAGGCCTTATACAAAGCTGAAACCTACCCCCCTCTTTCACCCACCCCTAAACTCTGTCCACTGAGGTCAGTGTGCCTCCCCTCAGCATGACTGATGTGTGAATGACAAATCACCAGGAGCTGCGTGTACAGGAGCGTTGGGGCTAAACCGAGGCCAAAAGTGCTGTCTAATTATGGGGAGCCGCCCCTGCAGAAGGGAAATGCCCTTAAAAACACACCACGCCGGCCTTGTAATCTGTTTAATTATATTCCAATCGAAAACACATGTGGAGGCAGGAAAGAAACCAACACAACAAAATTATGGCAATGATATATATATATATGTTTTAATGCTGATAAGAGCTCATACACGTGCCATAACATCAACAGTGTAATAACATTAATTACAAAATGTATATCTGCTTAATATGTCATTTGATTGGGTTCTTTTTTTTAGCTTACATTTACATAGGGAAACATTCATTTATGTACAAATGTTTATTTGAATGTTTTTCTCTTTATTATAACTACATCACAGGCTCCAGGGTTGCTGGAGTGTCTTTAGAGTTTAGCCACAATCCAACATTCTGGTTTCTAACTCCCCTGCTATACCAGGAGCATTATATTGATATGTTAATATAATAAAACATAAATAAGAAATGAAATCATTTGACAGTTTAATTCAAATACAAGTTCCAAAATAAAAAACTAAAATCTTCATCTACATTATATGGCATTTAAGTTTGAACTATTACTTTTATGCACCCTCTCTAAAATTTACCAAGGAAATACAAATCGAACTGTACGTTTACTTCATCACTGGAGTTCCTTCACAAACAAATCAATAAAAAACTTCAGGTTGCGTTCAATAGGGACAAATAGCAGGGATATAGCTTTTATCTATAATTATCCAATGGCACAAAACTCTGTCGGATCGATACAGACTAACACATCGATGTGCGGCCAGTCTGTTGTCGGAACATTTCTGTGATTCAGGATTGTCTCCGTGTTCGAGCAGCAGACAGTAAGCAGGGCCCAGATGTTCAAAAAACATGGCGTGGAGACTATTTCCTTTATTTAAGAACGTGGCCTGTCTTCAGGGCTGGGGTTATGTACAGTAAGAGAAAAAAGCCATGGTTCACACATACAGTCACATGAGGTCAGTCACACACGCTCCTATCCTCAGTCTCACACAGTCTCACATACACAACACACATGCACACTCATTTCTTCCCCTGAGACTGATGTTGTGCTCAACTTTCATATTAGAAATTAAGGCTGATCACTGAAACAGAAACAAAAATAAAAAGGTGCCTGTCATGCTAAACACACAGAAAACATAAACACAGTATAAGGGCCTTGTTGTCAGTGCATAATCATAATCACAATGTCAATAAACAGTCATTGTTCTACTAATCAATAAATTAAACATGAATACAAAATATTAGAAATTGGTTTTCTTTTGTATATGACCTCGAAATAATTGCTTCATTTGGAGGCAGAGATAGTGCACACACAGTGAGGAGGAACTTGTCCCTTTTCAGTCCTTTAGTCTCAAATACTGTCGATAAATCTCTCTTGTTTAAAAACGACATAGTAAAATATAGTACAACTACCATTATTGTACCAAATATCAGTAATTTTAGCTTCTGCAACACCGAAGAGCTCGAATGCAACGTGAGAAACAAGTAAACCTGTAAAAAAAAAAAAAAAGGACAGAAACATCAGTTACCTTGAGTCAGCATGCAGGTCAGGTCGTTATACACTGTGTCCTTTATACAAACGTGTTGCTCAGTTTAAAATGAGACAGGAAGGATGGTCTGTTTACAGGTCGTAGATGCTGCTACCTAATGGGTCACAACCGAGGCCGTTCGGCCCCAGAAAAGCAGGAAGCACTTTTTGAAATGAAGATCTGAATCAGAACGGACGCACGCAGACTCTGTCTCTCGCTCGAAAACACTGATTAGGTTTGTGGTGTTTTATAAACAGTGAAATCTAGAGCTTCAAAATCTACTCCTTCGCCTCACCTGGAGGGGAAAAACACGACTTGACCCTTGACCTTTCCTACAGGGTCGACCTCCTGTCGCCGGAAAGACCCATTTTCAGACAGATGGTGAACTGTGTCACTATAATTTCCTTGTCAGCTCTTTTCAACAATGTTCTGCTCTGATGTTTACCCTCATTATACAAAACCAAACTATGTTTTCAGAATCAGAATCATGGGATTTTGTAAAAAATTCTACAATAAAATTAACTTAATAAATATATCAAATATGAGTTCATAGGTCTGTTCTCTCTTGTGTGTGTTTGCTTGTGTGTACAAACACACGCACTCTGCGTGCACGTGCGTGCTTCCTCCATGTTTCCCTGTGACACACGTTGACGTGAAGCATTTCTGCTGTGCTACACCTGGCTTCTGTAACATCAGGTCACTTTGAAAAAAAAGAGATCCATAAAGAGATTTCTTTGGGAGTGAAGGGCGTGGGCGGAGGTACGGAGGGAAGAGGGAGTGCTACATCAAGGCTGGGAGGAGGAGACGAGGACGGGGAACAGATAAATAAATAAATAAATATTGTAAATGTACATTTGTCTCCATCCTGACTGACGCCCCCACAGTAATCTGGGAAGTCCGCAAATAATAGGATTATGTAAAATTAGCACCCTAGCCTTACCATTCAGTGCTATTGTGTGTATGGGACAGTGTGTGTGTGTGTGTGTGTGTCTCATAGTCTGGTCTGAGCCTCTGGGATATAAATCTCAATACTGTCTGCACTCTCGGTGGCGGAGCTCTGCCGAACCGACGCAGCACGTTTGGCAGCTAGCAGGCGTTTGCGAGCCTCCAGACGCTGGCGCTCATTGCTCTCCAGCGAGCGGTCCCTAGCCAGGTGAGGGTGGCCCTTCTGGGGCTTCTTTGGCACAGGAGGGGGCATCCTTCTCTCCTGGACAGGAATGACAAATAGTCTTAATGACAGACTACTATACGCAACACAGTCAGGAGCAACACAACTGCAGCCAGTTGGCGTATGGGTTAGAAAGAGCACTGTAGCTGTCACTGTAGCGGCGTTATGGCGGAGCATGCATTTGTGTGAATGAGGTTATGGTTCACAGTGGCAGCCATTTGTGTGGGGTAAGAGAGCACGGTGGAGGCCATTGCGTGAGGTAAAAGCGACCATTGGAGAAGGACAGGCTCCAACGGTGCATGGCAGGTAGAGAAGCTTCTCAAAAGCAGCTCACTGTCGGCAACAAGACAAAACAAAACACACAAATACAGGTGGTGGCGTCAGGCAGGCAACGTGACAGTTCACAACACACATGTGCATGTTACAACAAAGCTTCACTGTGAATCACGAGGACTCACAGTCACAGAACTGAAGCAGCAGATAACATGCAGGTTAGTGAGGCATTCAAAAGCGAAACTAAGAGTAGGTGACTTTCATCGTATTAAAATGGAGGTTTAATGGATCACGTATTCGCCATGGGTGTCCGCACCTGGATTTCCGGGGGTGACAGAGGTTTCCAGTTGTTGGCTTTAAGTTGGTGGAGTTCATCAAACTTCAGGCTGATGTTCTCGATCGACAGCTGGAGCATGTCCCAGAAACCTGCCAGGTCCTGGGAGATGGGCCGTGGGTGTGCGTTTGGATTCTGATACAAAGCAAAGCAAAAAAATGCACACAAACACAAAAGCTGATAAAATATGTGTCACACATTTTTGGAGGAGTACTGTTGCTGTCTAATGATTCAGTTTCACAGCAGAATCTTCTCTAAACTAAATGAAATGCACATAAAGTTATTGAGAATTTCAAATGACCCAATTTTTAGGAATCAGACACGATATTCTAAATCTGGAAACTATGCTTGTATCCAGAATATTATGCAACACATGAAAATGGAAGAATAAATATCTGCAGAAAAAGGTTTTATGCTGCTTCAACACAAACAATATAAAAACACTGCAAGGTTTATTTTTGTATGTCAGAGACAGTGTGCAGAAGCACACTCCACACTAGATGCATAGTAAATGAGCACTGGCCTGTCCTGTCAGGATGATTTGTGCAGGATGATGTCAGTGT